ACTTTCAGCAAAACCAGGAATATAAGAGTATTTAATCTGAGCAATATGTATTCTAAGAAGAATCTATGAAGAACCTATAGATAACATCAGAATTAATGGTGAAAGACTAAATTTATTTCCCCTAAAAATAAGGTAAATGCTGTTGATACTCAACATTTCTCCCAAATGTGCTAGAATTCACAGCCCACTCAGCAAGAGGAGAGAACACAGTCCAGACTAGGATGGAAGATGTAAGCTCGCCTCCATCCTAGGCCACAGCCCAGGGTCCCCAAGAGCCTCAAGAACCCACAGAGCACTGATGAGTGAGCTCAGCAAGGCCACAGGTGTCTTCTGATCTGCACAAGTCCACTGCTGGTGCTGGGCACTAGCAATGAACAGCTAGAGGTTGAATTAAAAACACAATTCCCACCAGGCCCAGGGGCCCAGGCCTGTAATCCCAGTGGCTTGGGAGGCTGAGGCAGGAGAATTGAGAGTTCAAAGGCAGCCACAGCAACAGTGAGGCACTAAGAAACTCAGTGAGACCCTGTCTCTAAATAAAAAACAAAACAGGGCTGGGGACTTGGCTCAGTGGTCGAGTGCCCCTGAGTTAATCCCCGTCACCACACACACACACACACACACACACACAGCAAAAAAAAAAAAAAAGCCATGATTTCTCTTAGAACAAAACATACTCAATGTTTAGGGATTAAATTTAACAAAGGCTGTGCAGGATTTTCATACTGAAAACAAAAGATTGCTGAGTGAAATTAAAGATGACCAAAATTAATTAGAGTCATAGATTTGAAGCCTTGATATAATTTGTGCCTGTCTATGTTCAGTGCAATCCCATTCAATGTTCAACATGCTTATTTTTTGGTAGAAACTTGCAAGCAAATTCTAAAATTTATGTGGAAAAGTAGAGGACTTAAAATAGTTGAAACAATTGTGCAAAAGGGGAAAAATGGGTTGTGGTAGACTTTGAAAACTAGGAAATGTGTACTTCCATCAGGTGGGCAGGAGGAGGAATGGTGAGGGATCCTTTGATACCTTCTTGGGCACGTGGCTTGTTAAACCTCCACCATGATTCTCTTTGGTCAAGGCACCAGGAGCCCCCCCTATACTGCCATGGCCTGCAGATGGTCCACTGCCCATAGCACTGGCAGCCAGAATAAGGAAGTCCTAATGATTCCCTATCACACATTCCTCAATCTTCTTCTGCAGAAAGGCACATACTCTATTTAGCAAGATCAACAGGAAAGAAACAGAACATAAAGAAGTTTGTGCTGATTCCAAGTGGAACTTACTCTTCTCTAATGATTTTTAAGGAGGATTTTGAAGTGAAGCAGATATTCTCACAGAGTAATACTCATCAATATCAAATTGAGAGAGAAATAAGGAGGGAAACACAATCCCCCTCGACCGCAGGGTCCTTAACCCCACTGTACCTGGGCTACACTACTGCTGAAGCCCTTGCACATACAACTTCTCTACCACCATTGATGGTGCTTTGTCTGGTCTTTGTGACTTAGAATAGCCCCACAAGTGGCCATGCAGAGTTCCTTTCAGTTGATTGAGTAGCTATTTTTGTTCTTACTGTATATGGGATGCTCTCAGCTCTGCAGAGCCAGCCCCTACATCATGGCCTGGTAGCCTCCCACCTCCCTGCTCTCCTCCAGGGGGTGGAACTGTAAGGGACCGGTGAAATGTCGGAGGAAGAGACCACCAAGAGACTGCCTCATGCAACAGCAAAGGGTTTATTTGGGACCAGCATGCTGGGGCTCAGAGCTCACTTGAATAGATAAAAGAGAGATAGAGCCCTAAGAACAGCTTAAGCAGAGCTTATATACTTTCCTTGGAGAGTGCAGGGAGGGAAGTTACATTTTGCAGTTTTGCTGTTGGGGACAGCACATTCTGGGAACAAGATTAGCAAACAGTTCTTAAGATTTCAACAGTGTTTTGTTAAGCATATAGAAAAACGGAGTGACAAGTACCTATTTTATTAACTTTTCATTTTCAACTTCTTCTGGCTACTTTTAATCATAAAAGTGATCGTTGGGGGGTGTCACATTTTATGTCTGCTAGTGGGGTATATTGTTGTCTGAATACCATAAGTTTGACTTGTCAAATTTGGGCTTGGAGAAAGGAAACTACACGGTTGAGCAAACAGGGTCCTAGAGTTAGCAACAATATAAGAATTATTAAAAGTCCAGCCAGGGCTGATAAAAGCATAGTTAACCAGGGGGTTAACTATGTGTGAATCAAGACTCATACCACTCTTTTTGGGCCTCTCTCTCTCTCGCTGATGCTCTTTAAGGCATCTTTTTAATTTACTTATAGATTTTTTTACAACTCTAGATGGTCGGCATAAAAACAACATTTTTCCCTCAATGCAGCATAAAGGCCCTCTTCTCTCATGAAGAGGAGGTCCAACACTCACCTGTTCTGTAAAACAACTTCAGAGAGAGAGGTTAAAGATTCCTGCAAAGCTGTGATGGAGGTTTCTAATATCTTTAAGTTTTGGTCCATTGCTG